TCTTCAAGCAGACTGATGACAGAGTCATCGCATGTTTAATAATGACTCTGTTGTCGTGTTTACTCTGGCACGTTTGCGTAAAGAATAAATAACAGAGGTGACAACACACACCCTTGTGGAGAGCATATCCTAACAGAGTATCACCTCAATCTCAAACTCTTCTCAGTCTTTTAATCAAGATATTTGTCCATTGTCTTTTCTACACTGCATTTCTTCTGACCTGTATTTTTATAATGATTTGATTTTGTAGCACTTTGTAACTTACCTTTAGAAAGGTGCTATATAAATAAAGATTGGTTGCTTGCTAGATGTGTACTACTGAGGCAAGATCACAGTCTACAGAGCTTGCACAGGTACTTAGGTACATAAACCCCTTAATGTAGAAGTAGAAATGAACCTTAACATCTCTTCATCTCAGGTGGAACATGGTCACAAAGAGCTCCCTCCGCTGGTCCTTATCCTCGGCAACATGTCGAGCCTCCCATCCATGTTAAGTTCATCTCTGCTATCACAGTCTGCACCAGGTTATTGTTAGTCTTTTACCTGGAGGCATGGAAACTATGATGGATCTCTCTAAAGGGTTAACTACTGGGATTGATACTGAACATTAAGATGCCACATCTGTCCCTGACAGCGATCCTAAAGCAGAGGCTTCACAGGCAGCCTCTCTGTGTGACATCTCCCAGTGGACTCCAGCGCAGACACATCACAGAGAGAGCAAACATTCAGATGCAACCATCCATCCATCAATCCATTATCCATACCGCTTATTCCTGAATAGGGTCACTCCTACAAGCAATCAGAGTCACCAGTCAACCTAAGCTGCATGTCTTTGGACTGTGGGAGGAAGCCAGAGCACCCGGAGAGAACCCACACAGGCACAGGGAGAACATACAGACTCCACACAGAAAGGCCCCGGGTCGGCCTGGGCTTCCTGCTGTGAAGCAGCAGTGCTCACCACTGCGTCATCATGACCAGCCAATAGAAATTCATTCTAACCTTGGAAGCAATGTGTGCGAGTGGCTGGCCAAACTCAGGTTTGTCTGGGAATTCGTCTACAGCACAAGACATGCCGATCAAGTGTCATGGTTTCATCGTTTCCCTTGTTACTGATGTAAATGCACTGTGTTGGATAAATCACATGAATTAAAGGACGGCTCCAGATAGCGACAGTTATTGAATTAAATTCAAAACAAGTAGGATTTAAAAACAACATTGACTTGATAAGTTCTACTCAGCATCTTTAAATACCATCTTGTTATCTCATCACACACATCTGTCAGTTTTCACACACACCACTAAATACATTTACACACAAGCACATGTATTCCTCTGTTTAACACACACCAACATGCGCAGTCTCTTACACATACACTTTGCATCCCGTTAACCTTTCCAGCCACATCATCATTAACAACCCGTACGAGGTCATTTTATTGTCTGTAATGACACTGGGTGAGTAGGACACACACACACACACACATCGTCTCTCTCTCCTGCAGAATGAGGCCTTAAACCTTCCACCGTCACCATAAAGGTTCATCTCAGCTGTAATCAACAGTGTACGATTTTCATTATCGTTGTCGTTCGTAATATAATCACATCATAGCCCGAGAGAACTGTCGCACAATCCTTTATCATCATAATCACCATCATAATTGTTATTGATGTAAGTGGATGGATATTTAAAGCACTGGGAAGCACTACACACTCATCCTCTGGAAGATCAGTTACTTTTAAACGAGATGCAAGACTTCCAATTACATGGGTGAACAAACTGTGGCAACGAGGTTTCTTTGGGTCAAAGAGATGAAACATGTCTGAGCAATGCAAAGAGACAGTCATAAGAAAATTGATTAATAGGAGCATTTGATATGTTTGTGGACAAGTATGACCTCATTCTTTTACATACATTTTTAACAAATGTATGTACTGTTTTGGTCATAGCTATGTTTACTTTGCACTGACAGTGGACAGCTCAGATGTGTTCACCTTTGTTTTTACAAATGTATGTACTGTTTTGGTCATAGCTGTTTACTTTGCACTGATAGTGGACAGCTCAGACATGTTCACCTTTGTTTTTAGTGTGTAAGTGAATATGTTGTGCATTTCTGTCTGACTGATTGTGTAGTACTGGTGGTAGACCAAATATGTAGGTGCTTTACTTAAAGGGAACTCCCACTCGTTGCTCACATCAAAGTTCTGGCTCTAGAGGAAACTGCAGATGTCTGATGGATGTAAAGTAATTGTTTGCTAAGTGATCTCTGTCGGAATTTAGTAGCTGATCAGATGGATAAAAATGCAACCATTTATATCAGAGCACAGGCAAAAACAAACAAAACACATGATGATAGGATCAGAAAATTGACTTACAGGTTGGTACAGGAACAGGTTCAGGCTCAGTAACAAAAACAGGCAGCCCAAACCACAGGAGACTGTTGTTTGACAATCTGACAGAGAGCAGGTAGAACTGGCTGCTGTGATGAGGGAACTGGGAACAGGTGTATGTGAGTGGGCGGAGAAGGTCAGGTGACTGGGAATGGAGGGAAATTTGGAGGGCATCTGGTGGCTGGATGGAGTATGGCAGCAGTCAGAGGCGAAGTGGTCAAAATAAAGAGGACAGAAATCATAGGCATAACCTGTATAAATGCATTTAATTTGCTTTCTACCACGTTGTAAAACTGTTTTTGCTGCTCAGTCCAGCAGTATCCCCAGAACCTTGTCTTATTATAACTTGTAGAAAGCTTACTAGAGGGTAAAATATATTAATATCTGTGTGTTAATCAGCCTCTGCCCACCATTAACCTGGGGATAAGATTAACCTCAGGGCAACTGGATGTGTGTACTGTGTGAAAAGCTCCACAGCTGCTCATTCTATATCAATAACTAGACAAAACTGCAGATATAATGAGGTAAATGTCATCATTATAAATGATATTAACTCCTAATTGTTGTTATAAAACCATACTCCTGTGTATAATTTATTCTAAATTAAATTCTGTCCATGCTGCTAGTGTGCGTTCACATGAGGTTGAACATTAGCTCCCATATGGATGTGAGGGGGTGCAGGACCTGGGCCACATTGACATGCAGTGCATTTCCTTGGCATATTGCTTGTGGAGGGGTCATGAGGTCAGTATGTGCACAGGAGAAGTTGTGCACGCTCAGGCCCGAACAACCACGGATCACTGGACTCATCGGTCAGCATGTGGCACAATCACAAATCAGCTGCTGTGCTTCAAGGCTTTCACATGAGGAAGAGGAGTTTTGTTCTCAGCGGACGCTTCCTTCATTCCAGCCCCGCTGTTCAACCACAATGCAGTGCTTCTAATGCATTTTAAAGCAAGATATTGGTGATGATGCCTCGCATAATAATCACAGGCACGTAGGGAAATCACATTATGAGTCTTCAGAAGATGTTTTCTTCCAAAGCAGCTGCTTTTAAAGGGTAGAGGCAGCAGTACTTTTCATCATTAAGGCAAAATAACAAGTAGGCTATTGCGTAATCATGTAAGCACATAATTGTGGGAGTCCTTAGCCACAAACGCTGCTGCTGATTGTCTGTGTGGGAGACTGGAGGTTGAATCCTATCAGCTGAGTGCGGCCTTGGGATTTAGAGAGTGATTCTATTTGACATCAGGATAACAATCCCCCTGTTGGTGAAACCATTTAAAGGTACAAATAGCAAGATGTTTCACTTTTAGCTGGGGGCACGGAGCACAATAATAGCATCAACTGTCAGCTGTGAAGACACTGCAGGGAGGAAAACATTCAGCTGTTGAATCAAGGGAGGCAAAAACACAGAAATGCAAAACTGTGAAGACGACAGGAGCTGAGGGACGGAGAGCACTGGGAGAAAAGAAGGTGCCTTTCAGTTTAATTAGTGGTGGCAAATTAATTAGCAGCAGGATATGAATTAATTAGTGTTCCGAAAGCAGTTTAAAGGCAGTGCCATAAGGAGCCACTGTAGAGATCCCATAAGGCTTTACAGTTTGTTGCAGCCCCAACATTATCCTATTAATTAGCAATTAAATGCTTCTTGAATCCCCATTTCTATCAATGTCTCCCTCTGTTTTCTTCTTCTGTGTCTGCTCCGTTTGTCTCTACCGCACCTTCATCAACCCTCCTGCTGATATTTACAGCAGAAGGCCTCTTTGCACTTGCAGCTGCACATTCATGTAACTGAACATCTACTGTAAATTGCTCACTAATTTTGCTCTATGTTTGTTCTTTTTGTGTTTACTCACCAGCGCTGAAAGCTGTTATCCCGAGGCTCTTTCCATCTTCCAGGAAACTCACTACAGTTTAGGAGATTCAATATATTTTCAATATTTCATTCTAGAGATTAGAACCTGAGTGTAGATGGGGAGAAAACTGAGCACTGTTTGATATTCTCATTGATTTCTAAAAGGCATCTCATTTCCATCCTCTCATTGCAGCACTTTCTGCTGGCTGCTTTACAGCCAACGTCACCAGGTTGGTGTGAGTGGACAGGTCAGTGCACAGGAGATTGGCTTTCTCAAGGCACAAAGTGGTGCCTGCTTTGGTTTTCACACACACACACACACACACGTGCTAGTGACTCACTCACTCCAATCACTCTGGTTTATGTGATTCAAAACGGTGTGCTGAAGAGGCATCATGCAGTTTCTCCATCGCTCACGGTAAAGTCTCATCACAAAGTCACTGCTGTTGAAATTTGTGAGTTCGCATTATACATCCTGCACTATGAAACCACGTGGAGCCAATTCAACACAGAAAACTATTTCAACAAGACAAAACATTTACTGACACTTACTGATTAGAGTTGATATCAAAAGGTGAAATCCAGCTCTGCTATCAATTGGGACTCCTGTTAACGACTATAAATCCAGCTTTAGCCTGTTGGCATGCTAGCGTTTGTTATTTAGCACAAATCACACAGACTGATGCAAATATCATTAGTTTTGCAAATAATTTTATTTTCATTTATCCTTTACCAGATAAATTCTTTTGGAGATTGGGGATTTAGTGTCTACCCCCATTTAAAATCCGTGAATTTTGACAGTCTGGGAAACTGGAAGGGATGAAGTGGATCACTGCAGAAGAGAAATAGAAAAAAGTGTCAGCAGGGCTGTAAAACGGGCCTCAAAGAGCACCGAGATACAGAGGGGGCAGAGGAGAAAGAGAAAGTTCCCGGGGAGGTTGGAGAAGACAAAGGAATTATTATTAAACTGCTGTGGCAGAATGCTTAGAAAAGTTAAGCTTTTAATAAGTAAAGATAATCATAAGATGATTTATGTGTAATTGTTGAAATAATCAGGACATGTGTAAGAATAAAATGTGAAATAATTGTATTAAAAGAATGGGGAGAAGTGATTTTACATCTAAAAGAGTGAACAATGCAGTCACAGGAACGAGGAAATACAGTAGACACACATCCCTGCTGAAATGAGGAACTGCAAAAGCTCGTGTGTGCACGCCACACAGAGAAGAGACACACTATACTGAGGAAGTAACAAAAATGATGGTTTCAAGCCTAAAAGTAAAAGATTTGACTGATAATTGTTTGATCAATGTCTAATCAATGATGATCCATGTTTAGTCAAAGTAATGTATTCACAATATAAAGATTTATGTTTTGATTTTCAGGCATTGATAGTTTTGTGTGAAATCAGTGTGTAATTCTGACTGTTCTGCTAAAAGCAATGATGCAGTTTCGATATTTCAGTCAGATGTGAGTTTCTTGTATTTTTGTTATGTATTGAGATTAGTTTAGTTTTTAAGAAAAGAGAAGTAGAATCCAAGGCTGGATCACAGTGGGGCGAAGGCCGGTTACAGGCAGTGGGCTTGGACTGACAGTAAAAAATATGCAATACTTCAAAACAATATGATTTTGCACACCAACTAAGGTATCAACTGCAAACTGCGGCATCTGGTTGGATGAGAGGACAAAGACTACTGACCAGAACCCTATAAAAATCCAGGCAAAAAGAGGAACGGAGAGTCCTTTCACAGCTGCGGCCGAAGGCTCTATCCGGTTGACCATCTGACTTCCAGGAGACTGTGGGAGGCAGTCTGTGAAGAGGAGCCCCTCTGGGGCATGACTCTGAGATGTAACATCAAACTTTATTTGTGCTAAATTGTTTTGAAAAAGAGAGCAAAAAAAAGAATTAAATTCATACAACTACAGCTCAGAAAACATCCATAATTTAGTGGCTTGTTTAACTGAATTGGTGCTTTACTTATCTTGAAAGACTGAGAAAAGTTCTTATCAACACATAACCTCATGGGCAAGGATGTGTCCCACTTAATGCCACAGTAGGTTTCATCCTCACTGGGTGAAAATAGATTTTCTGTCATAGTCAGAAAGAGTCTGAGAAGCCTATGAAAAATACAGTATTTCACATCACACAGAGGCAGAGACAGTGCTCCACACTCTATTGATTTGCTCTCCAGTGCAGTTATGATAATATAATACTTTTGTCAAAGTCCCAACAGCCCCTAAAGTTTGTTTATGGCAACAGTACAGATGCTCCAGAATCTGCAGGTCACCTACTGGTGACTCTTTCCTTCACTTGGCCATTTCAGTCATGCTGACTGTTCTGATGATTGTTCTCTCTGCCTCCACACTGGCTCCATGTGATGCTCAGCGGGTTGAACCTGTTGCCATGTTCTGTTTGCTTCTGCTCCTCCTGACTCAAATTGAGGAAGCATGACACCCTTAGTCCTTCGAGCTAGGATGTGATTAGTGGCCTTCAAGAGACAGGACACTCATTGCCAAGGAGACCAAGACAATACAAAGTGGAAAAGGGTCCGGCATCCATCTGCCTGAGATTAAACAATTACTGCTTGAAACTACTGTCACTTGCTAAATAATAAATATTAAAGCTCATCTGCAGTAGACTTATTTTAAATCCACCCATAGCTCCTCTGCATGCAGCTTACCTCTCCTCAGGCTACATATTCTTTGTAGACAGTTTATCAAGAGACGAGCACTGGGTTGTGAACTACACTCCCTGCCTGGAGAAATAAAGTTGCGTTACTGTAGCCTTTAACACCAAGTCCGGCAACTCTGCTGAGTCTTGGGAGAAATTGAAAATCAAGCAGTTCTTGTTTATGTGTCCTTTCTAGATCACAATCAGTTTGTAAAAACTCAACAGGCTACCTCCCATACATTCAGCTAGCAACAACTCTAGCAAAGTTAATGGACTTCAGTTGTCACCCACTGCCTCATCTGATACAGTAAGAGCCGTCCTGTAGCAGCAGACTTCCTCTGAGACATCGTTATGTTGTGTAACATCAGGCTGGGGCTAACTATCGATTCTCCCAGCTGACTGTGTGGAGTCATACTCATACAGCCATCGACTGCAGCAGCTCCTGATCAGTGCTAATGATGCTGCAACAGAAGAACAGCTTTAACACAATTTAACACACGTCAGGGGAAACTGCGGGGTGATCGATCTTAGATGCTGATACCTGATCCTGGGATGCTGCTAAAGTGCGTGTGGTTTACAGTCATAGTTTTAAATTCTTATAGTGCCAAAATAGACTGAGCAGCAAACTGCTGCAAGAGCAAGTAGTCTGGAAAAAAACACACTCTAAAATGTTTGATCTCAGATCCTATTTTGAGAAATGTAATCAGTCATTCAGTAAGATTCTGAGTGTGGAACTTCTATTTGTCATTTAAGATGGGATGATGATGCTGTACCATACACATATACAGTATGTAAGGATGCGCTCAGTGGAGCACCGATAGAAGGACACCAGCAGTCTCTGGGAGATGTTGTTCTTCCTGAACACCTGTAGGACGTACAGTCTTTGCTGGGCCTTTTTAAGCAGGTCAGAGGTGTTTCCATTGTGGTATTAGTACTTTAACCTGCGCCGGTGCTTTCAGCTCGTGCATTAGTGGTTCTGCTGGGTTGACAAGTTTACCCATAAGTCAGAAAGCACTAGCTTCAGGCAGGTTTGTCACAACCAGGCATCGCAGTTTACATCATTGCTAGGAAATGAGACGTGATGGGAGGGAGAGAGCAGTTAGGAGCAACTTGAGGTGTCAGAAAACACTTTCAAATCTGAACACACGTTACATGCAACCATTTACTTTAAAATGCATTTGGAAAAACATTTAGATACTGAAGAACCTAGATTTTAGGTTAAAATGACATGAAAAAGATCCTGGAGTCTTACAAAACCTCTACAGGTACAGTGCTGAATGAATTTGTACTTGAGATAAACAATTCATCACATCATTTTTCCTTTAGTAAACACTGAAAACGAACATCACACTAGGGTTAAATAGGGATGAAGAGATGCAGAGTTTCAGGGCCACAAAATCTGTGAGATTTGAGGGGATGATAATAATAATACTGTAGCCTGGTGGATTCAGCAATAAATCACAGGTAGCTAAGGTCAGCTCCTGAATAATGATCCTAATAATGTGATGAGTCCCAGCCATGAGCTCGAGCCGACGGCCATTTCTTTGGCATAATATGCATAGATGGGAGCTCACACACATACAGGTTTGTGCATCTGTATGTGGAGTTGCATGTGCGTGGCTGAGCCCTTGTGCACTTTGGATAGGTTTACTGAGACAGCTCAGTTTGGCAAGCCATCCTGCTGTTCCCATTTTTCCCCCAGCTAGAAAACAAAAGCTCCTCTGCTAAATATAGAACATCTGCATTTCACCTCACCCTCTTTCTCTCTGCCACACAAAACCAACACTCTTAAACCCCTATGATACACCATTCTTTCTGATTCTTCCCTAACAATCACCTTTTTTAGCCAAGCTAGAGGCCTGGCTCAAGGCACACTTAGATTGACTCCACCACGTTCATCCTTTGCCTGTGGATTGACATGAAATTTGGTACAGACCTTTATGTTCACCAGCACTTTGGTGAATCACTGACTTTCTCTCTCACTTGTTCACTTTGTTTCATGACAGAGTACAGCAAAGCCCGCTAGCAGATGCTAATGAACAGTTGTTTAGAATTATTTTATATTAAATGTCTCTGATTTGTTGATCACAAAGATGTTTTCTGATATTTAATGAATTAAAAATTTTGCCTCATATTACACACAAACTCATGTAATGCTGCATATTACCAGGATGAGTGTCTTCACATTCATGCACAGATCTTACTGCAACCAAGATAAGAGGTTGATATTATTAGCATGCTAGCATGTTCCATCCTCTGGTTGTAATCACTCCCCTCTTTGTGCTGTTGATCATCAGCTGGTCGTTGCTGCAGCCAGTGGGGTCACGCTGATGCTAATAAGCTTTCATGAGCATTTTCTCGTTGATCTACACTCGTTGCCCCACTGCCCCATTACCACCGTGTCAGCATTTTCTCAGCCTGTATGCCGCATTGGCATATGCAGACGAAATGCATGTGTGCATGCTCCGTTTTATTGCTTGTCAGTGTGCATTGATTCAGCTGCGTGCCATCTGCATCCTGTTGTGTAGAAGTACTAGTTTCAGTGCTGGCTTGACTTAAGACATGCAAGGGCAACCAATTAGAAACAGTAGTAAGTAGGACAGTCTCATTTATCAGTGGTAAGATCATGTGACTTTGTATTTTCTTTTTCTTGAACTATAGACTGTTTTCTGTCGTTAAAGGTTAGATGATAAGATAAAAAGTGGGAGGAAAGAGCAGAGGAAAGAAGGAGAGGAAAATGCATTTGAAGCAAAAGTGTCAGTTAATTCAAACAGCAAGATGTGATGAAAGCAAGAAATAGTCTTAGAAAATATTTGTTTTCCTGCACAACAGCTGCTGACAATCCACTGTGGTGACCGGAGAATACCAGCACATCATTTTATCCTTCATGATGATTCCCTGAAACACATTGTACACAGTCACATCTGCATTTCTCCTCAGAAATCAGAAGTCACTGCATGTATGTGTGGCACGTCTGACACTGTGCATCTCTCTGCACATGAACTGCAGATCAACGCTGTGCAAGCAAACTACACAGACATCACTGCAGTGGAGCTTTATAGTGTCCTTGTTGTGCCTTGTGTGCTAAAGAGGTGAACGACACAACTGCACTGGAGAGTCTGACTGTCAGAACCATCACTGAGATTTTAATATCTGTATTAAGCCACAGGCCAAAGCAGTTCACTGTATTATCCAATACATGATTCCATTGCATGGTGTTACTTTCTCACCACATTACAAATCTCATGCTAATATAATGTTTTAAAATCTCTAACTGCTCCTTTTAGCCCTGGCTTAAAAACTGTGACTAAAAAAAGATGAAGAAACACAAAGAGCCATCGCTGTCTGAGACCCCAAACTGAATCCCACTAGTGGCCTGAATTTGGCTTTTTGGTAATAAAGCTACCAAGGTGATATTCTGTGCTTGAGCCAAGACCAAAGCTAAAGTATATGGACACTGCACAAAGGACACAAACAGTGTTGGTAAATAGAGTATATAACACGTTTCAACCTCACTGGAGGTAAGGTGAAGCCGCCACCCATTTACACACACACAGACACACACACACACACACGTGCGCACCAATGGCGGCAGAGCCGCCATGCAAGGCACTTGGGGTTCAATGTCTTACCCGAAGACATGTGAGCTGAGGAGACCAGGGATTGACCGCCAACCCTGTGATTAGCGGACGACCCGCTCTACCCCCAAGCTGCAGCTACAAAGCACTTTGTCTTCAGTGGTCAGGCAGCATTTTATAGCTCCATTATTTCAAACAAATCCCATGAAAAGAAGAAAATCAACAATGCATTAGTGCATCTACCAGAACGTCCTGACTTTTCCTGCCTCTCTGTGGCCCTTATTTATTTACAGTGCAGCACTCACCAACCTGATTATTCATTATTACAATTAAGCACAGATGTTACGGGCCCCGAGTGCCGGGGCTGCGTAGCAGTGAATTAGTGCAGCCTGGAAAACACAATGTGACATCAGAACAGAACTCTCACGGTGCACTGGCATTCGCATCCAGACTGCATCTGGGTTTATTCAAACATTAACATTCAAACATTGTAACAGTGCATGAATAAAGTGCATTTTTATCCCATATTTTCTTAACTCAAGTTCTCAATATAATCACTTAAACACCTGAGTGACATGTCTCAGCACCACTTTGGTGGTGAATAAACAGTTGCTCCACTGTTCCATGCTTAACTGTAATTAGTTATCAAATAAATAATGGGCTGCACACTAAAAATACTAGACTAAACCATTACCGACGAGCATGTAAATATACACCAAACAGTACGTTATACTAACAAATTATTGGATACTAACATTATACTGCTTTGTATGTGTAGTTTCACCTCTACTGACCTGGAAAACACAATGTGACATCAGAACAGAACTCCGACAGTGCGCTGGCATTCGCATCCAGACTGCATCTGGGGGCGAGGACAGAAGGTCCCTCCCCAAAACCATTCTGGGTGCAACACCAAGCGCACAAAGGTTCCGCTTTATTACCCTTTTCTGTTCCCCAACCACCAAATCCAGGACAGCAGGCACAAAACATCATATAATATAAATGTGGCACCCAAAATAAAATGTACATTCAATTGTCAATTAAAAAATAATAAATTAACTGAAAACAATGTGGTGACATATCTTTAGGTGCACCACACAGACATACATCATATTAAGGAAAACGTGCCAAAGCACAACAGATTATTTACCACCCATGTGTTTACAAGCGTCTAAGAGAATAACCGCACATGTACCAGTCTCTAATTAGATGGTTCTCTCTCAGTTTCCTGATAAGTAATTTCACTGTGTTCCCTCTGACATGAACAAGCACCATGACAATGACCTTGCTGGTTTGATTTGATAATGCTCTCTCCCCAAACCCACTGTTATGGCCCAGACAGTCACAACATTCTGTCCTAGGCTGCACAGAACAATGCCCTATCTGTTAACATCAGATGTGATTGTCTACAACTGTGCTAAAGAAAAGCTGCAGAAAAGCCGAGATTCATTTGTAGTGTGACAGTTTTAGACCCGTGCCGACGTTAAAGACGATGTGGGAAACTATCTGAGCTGTCACCCAGATCCAGAGCTACGAGGAAAAAAATGTTTCAAGTGTCTTCTGGAATTTTTCCAACACAATATTAAACATAATCTTATGCAAAAGCACCTGTGGGTTGTGTGGAGGGAAGCTTTGATCTGTTGCATGTCTGCATGTCTTTTCTATTTATACTGTAGTAGCTAACAACAAAACTGTAGTCTTAAGAAGGACTGTGCACTGTTTTCTCTCATCAGTGCAACTTATACTGTCTCCTTTTATCTTTATGAAATGCCTTCAGCGTGTTGTTGTGGCAGGTGTTAGCTGTGAGAAAATATTTAAAAAAAAACCCCTGTAAATTAAAACCGTGTTTGCACAGAGCTATGAATGCTTTTTATAGATAAGTTAGAGTTTAATTAGGAAGTCAGTGACATCAGCCTAACAGTGTAATACTTTGTTGTGACTTCACAGCGAAAAGAGGTGAGAAAAGAAAGCGAGGAGCTGAGAACGAGCAGCGGTGAGACGTGCTCCGTGAGGCTGCGACTGTTTCAGCCAGCAGGTCTTTTAGAAGAACTTCCTGTTAGAAGACCCTCTTTGGCCTCAGTGTGAAAATGGGTTCAAATGAGGAGGAAGGATGAGAAACAGAGGATGTCTGAAATAAGAATGGTAAGAAGAGCATATGAGACAGAGGCACAGGGAGCGACGTACAAAAAGAGCGAGGGAGATGAAGAGCGGGTGTAATAAAGACAGATTCAAAGAGAAGGTTTGACCCCAGATGTTGATTTCAGAGAAGAGAAAGACAATTTATGTGCATTTCTTTGTACTGTAACTGCACTAGGTGCAAATACAGCGTATACATACACATGTATGTGTGTGTGGGTGACCTCATTTCCCTGCTGCTTAATCTTTTACTTTTTCTTCTCCTCAGAGGAACGTGAACACATAATGAATCAAGTCCAAACCCACACAAACAAGTCTACTCTAGTCTACACAGTGAGCATCATGTGGTACTCCTAAGTCCTGGTGCCAGAGATTATTCCAAGTCTTGTTAAATCGGATACATTTTTTTAAATTGTCCCAATATCCTTTTTCAGAATAATATGTCTTGCATATATTTTATTTTGTTTGTGGTCTGAAGAAGGAACGAAAATGCAGAAATATAGGTATCAAGTCAATTAAATATCCAGTCTACTCCAACGAAATAATAATTACAATAAAAATAAATAAAACTAGATCATTATAAAAATTAAAAGCAAAAGAAATTAAACACAGGTGAGATAAAACCAACCAACAGAGAAAATCAGACTCCATTAGGTGTTAAAAGACATGGCAATGAAACAAGTATTAAGCAAAGACGCTGCAAAGTTGCACTAGTCAAGCTTAGAGGTGGCAAAAGCATGAACTGAAATTTCAGAGTCACTGAAGGAAAGAAATGACCTGACTTTACTCGATAATCTCAGTTGGAAAAAGCTCAACTTCACGACCAAGTTGATCTGTTTGTCAAATTTTAAATCGTTGTCAAACATCAAACATCAGCCTGAGATTTTTTTTTTTTACCACAGGTTCAAGATATGGAGCTAGTGGTCCAAGATCTAGGTCCAGGGTATAAGTCAATAATAAAGATGGGAAATAACAAAAAACTAAACTAACAACAACAATAAAAGAGACAAACATGGAAGTGTAAGAGCCTCCACTTCCATCTGCACAGTGTCAACAACAGCTACAAACAGCTTTAGCAGGAGATCAGAGACAGAAGGACAAGATTTGAACTCGACCTTCTACGTGTTGTCAGGGGAAATGTGCAGCTGCTCAACAGGAGCAGGATCGGCTCTCCACCTTGATCTGCACTCACTGGGATCATCAGAAATGCCTCTTAATATACCTGAGTGAGTACAGAGGGAAAGTAACTGACTCGCTGATTATTCTGGAGGATTTTCAGACAGTGTGGGAAGACAGTTTGACTCCTGTGTACTCTGAGAGCAGTGAAGCTGTCTGCTGTCAGACGGGCTTCATAAAAAACGGTGACAGGGAGATATTCACACCGCACCTTAAGGTTCATGTCTAAGCTTAGGAAACAAAACTAAATAGGCAGCATTAAAGATAAGACCTTTTATTCTCAACAAGTCCCTTCAAGCAACTAAAACTAACAATGAATTTATGCTTTTAGCGACGACCTGGAGAGCTGATGCCTCCACAGCACTTTGTTTTTACACAAGCAATAATTAGTGAATCAACTATTTTTTATTCATTTGACACAAGTTAAAGAGGAGTCTGCTGTGTTTCAGGGAACACTGTAGTGTGACAGCATCTGCGACACTGCTCGCTGTAGTAAATTAATAGCATGTTCCACTGTTTTCCTCTTCTGTCCTGCTTCTTGTAATTTTAGGGCCACATGTTCCACTTAAAGGTAGGCAGGTGGGCAACACCTGCATCGGAGTCATACATCTTATCAGATGGGGGGGGGTCATACAGTGACATGGATGAAATAGAGGAAGGGAGCAGGAGGAATGCTTACAGTATCTGCATAATCTGATGAAGTTTTAGGGCTGCACCATATGAAAACAACTTTACATTTAAAGGCACTCTGAGTAGGATTTCTGCCTTTCAGCAAGATTTATAAATGCAAAACAACTTCACAAGTATTTTAACTAAAATTATCCAATAAATGTAGCAGAGTGAAAAGCACAGTTTTTGCATCTACAATGTAGTGAAGTAGCAGATAATAAAAATACTCGAGTACTTTACAGATACCTCAAAATTCATACTTGAGTGCAGTACTTGGTGATTTTCCAAAAACAAATACAAACAGGATCGCTTTTCACTCTTTTTAAATCTACGGAGGTTTTATATTTGCAAAACATTTAAAGAGACTTAAAGAAAAAGTTTCTGATAAAACCTACACTGGAAAATTAGCACCAAATGAACACGACTGGAGACGCTCACAGCCAGCGGACAGACGGCAGATGGACACACTGACTTATGAAATCAAACACAGTATAAACCTGTCAAAGGCATCAGTTTAAACATATGGGAGCCGTGGATGCAGAGCTGCTCCTCGGTCTCTCTCTGGAAAAAGTTCAGCAGTTTTTTGAGCAGAGGGAAAATACAGGAGCTGTCAGGGGCCATATGATGCTGCCTCTGCAGTTTACACACAGAGACAGAACGGGGGATTGATGGCAAGGGCATGGAGGCATTAAAGGTTCCCCCAGAGGACACCGAGTCTAATACAGAGGGCTGCAGGCAACATAGCAACTCACACTGATTTATCTTTAACCTCCACACGCTTCTTCTTCATACCTGTCGTCGATGTCAGGTCATTTGTGTTGTGTTGTTTGTGCAGTAAAGGTCAGCACTGTCTCCACTACGCAGCTGACCTAAATTCAAAAGGCCCTTTATGTGTTTGTGTGATGCCATGAGTGTGTGTGTGTGTGTGTGTGTGTCCTGCCTCTGTGTCTGATTAATCCACCTCGTAGCATTTGGTTTGGAGCAGAAGTCGGAGCCTCTGTCTGCAATAAGCCTGGCCTACATCGGCTGCTCACACTGCAGATAAGACGACACATGAAGTCACACACACTGTGTCATTCTGTATAGCATCTGCTTTGAAGGGCATGTATGTATGTGTGTGTGTGTATGTGTGTGTGGCTGCTTAAACAAAAACACACACAACAGTTTAGTGATGATGGTAGCTGCCCAGAAAATGCTGCTGTCACATTAAGGCAAAGATTAGATTCTTCCTGAGCTTCTCTCACCAGGCTGCCTCTCTCCTGGTGGTTAACAAGAGAGGTATAATCTCCACAAACAAACACACACACACACACACACACATACACTCAGTGACAACAGCACAGAAAATTACAGGCACTGAAACAGAGCAACTTGAGGTGCAGAAACAGTTTTGTAAAGGCACAAAAACATCCTAAAAATGAATATGCGCTGTACACAAATATATCTACACACGGACTGATGCATGCAGACACACACACACACACACACACACACTCATGGTGGCAGCAGTAATTACAGGTGTGACAGCCACAGACAGGTAGAGGTGATGATAACAGGCTGCAGCTATTTCTGTTCTCCTCTCTTGCTCTTTGCCTCCGTCTTCTCTTCCTGCTCACATTTTTTCTCACTGTCACACACTCGACTCTGGTCCAGGTGGAACTGAAACACACACACACACATGTAAGCACACACGTGCACATTTCAACACGTGCCTCTCTTCCTCCACACACTTTTCTCTGCCTTCTGTCATTCCTCTTTCATTGTTTCACTGCTCTAAATTGCTTTCTGTTGTTCCCTGTGTGTTGAACTGATGTGATGTCAGTGTCTCCTGCAGCACTGTCACATCCTGCACTTAGTTCCTCCATGTTGCAGAGGAGGAAAGACAGACATTACAACATGAAGAGGTTATACTCTTATTGTCTTTGTGCACCTGTGTGTCTAGTACGAGCTCCTGCAGCTGACGTC